TAGCCGAAATCCTAAATGAAGAGTGATTTGTGTTCTCATATACCCATGAGTCCTGAGGTCAGGCAGCTCCTGGGCTGTTCATTTCAGCAGTTCTATGGCATCACCTAAGCCCCCAGTTTCTTCCATTTTCCTTTCTGTCATCCTCAATGTGTCAGTTGGCTTTCCTCATGTGTCAAGATGGCTGCAGCCACCCGAGGCATCACATCTTTATTCACTGAAATTCAGAGAAGGCAAGGGAAAAACTTTACAGTCCCCAGGTCTCATTTTACAACAGAAGGAAAATATTCCGAAGCTCACCCACTCGCTCCTCTCCAAGAAACCTTTCCCTGAAGTCTCATTGGTTAGCGCTGTGTCACATGGCCCTTCCTAAGCAAATCACAGACAAGAGGGATGACTAATTTCATGGCTCAGACTAAGCCTCCTGGAACTGGGGTTAGGATCTCCTTCCCTGAGTGCAGAGCCGTGAGGCAGAGCATAGCCTCCAGCAAGACAGGGGTCCGACCAGCAGAAAGATGAGGAGGCACTTCCTGTGTGGTATGGAGAGTGTCTTCATGGGAAGCCCATTGCTCACATCCGACTGTGACCTCTCCCTCCAGCATCTCAACTAGCCCCCACACAGCACAGGAGAGAACGAAGACGAGTGGATTTCAGGGCCCAGTGCTCACTTCCAACACCTCTGCAGGAAGCCCCTAGCTCCGCACAAGCAAATGGGTTCAAGGCAGACCTCCCGCCTTCTAGGCCGAGGGGCCCTGGTCTGGAAGCACATGCGAGGGTTTGTGTCTGCCTCAGCACCTCTAACCAACCGAGGCCTCTCCCAGCAGGAGCTAGAAGGCTGAGACGCTGGAGAGACAGAGCAACGTCAGAATCGAAGGGGGCTCCTGGGGACACAGAGCTGTAGCCACTCAGACAGCCCTGGGCCCTCAGACACCTGGTTCCTTACGTGTGTCAGCACACACTGAGGACTCACACCACTACACACCTGCGGACACTGAGCTGAGGCAGACAAGGTAGGACTCGGGCCCAGCAGCTCGGGCTGCCATGCCGGTCGTGGCTTCGAGAAAGCCTGGGAGACAGACGTCCCTTGGGAGCTGGAGCAGGAAAGGAGCAGTAAGGGGACAGCAGACACTGGCATGAAGAAGCCCTTGCCTCCCCCAGGGGCATCTCAGAAAGAGCTGGAGACGGACTTTGAGCGGGCTAGACCGGGCCAGAGTGCAGGCAGCAGGACTACAGAGAAGCCAGTTTTGGGGAAGCGCCTCGGTCCGGGTTTCCCTTCGCACTGGCGTGGCGTGCTGCCGTGGGCTTTGTCGGATGAATGACTTTCTCTCTGGTAAAGTCCAAAGTCTGACACGTCACTTGCCGGTGTAGCCCTGGCTCACTAGCTGGGATATCAGACCTGTGAGGACAAGAAGCAGCGAGGGACAAGTCGCCCCACACCTCAGCCCGCGGAGTGTCCCCAGTGGGATGGGCACCCCAAGTGTTTGCGTATGTTGTTTTTAGCAGCATTTTTTACATGTTGAACATAGCATGTCACCACGCCTCAAATTACAGGGCAAGGCAAAATCGCATCTGTGTAATGAAGTCTGACACATACGTATGAAATAAGCCTTTGCGGTGATCACTACTTACCGTGATGACTTCTAAACTGTACACTGAAATGATCGTAGCTTTTATGGGACACGTGCAGTTGACATGGATTGCACAGGAGTCCGTCTTCAGGAAGTGAACACAAATGGGTCGCTGAGAAGAGCAGGGACTCTGAAGGACAGGCAGATGGAGGCGTGTTCCCCCGTCGCCAAGGGAAGCCTCCAGTAAGCGCTGTGTCCAGAACCCGTCAGGAGGGGCTCGGTATGCCCTCCGCCAGCTGGACGCGCTCCCGTCCGTGGGGACAAGAAGGCCGGGCTGCAGGGCCGTCTGTGGAAAACAGGGTGAGCAGAATTCCTCTGCAAGTGAGAGCCCGCGCGGGGGCAGGAGGGCCCAGCCGAGCGCCACGTGCAAGCCTGGACTGCATCTAGACTGGCCTTGCAGGCTGCGCGGTGCTTTCCCATCGGTGACCTCATTTTATTTTTTCAACAACCCTTCGGGTCAGGCAGGGCAGGACTCGCAGCGCCTCATCGGGTAGAGGGAGAGCTGAGGACGAGGACGAGAAGGGTTCTGCTACCCAGGATGGCATCCCTTCAAAGCACGTCCAGGGTCTGCTAGCTGGGGCGCACGAACACCCCTGTAGGAAGGGGGAGCTTTGTCCCGACAGAGCACTGCCCTGAAAGGAATATCGGAAACTCAGGTCTTCGAGGTCACCCTGAGGCAAGAGAAGCATCTCTGCCTAGGACGTGTTCTCCAAGAGGGGAGAGTCGGGCTCTGAGCTGGGTTGGCCGCGCCCACAGAGCCCCAGGGGGCGGGGGGAGGGCTGAGCGAGGAGTCCTCCCTGTCACGAGCACAGGCAGGACAATGCAGGCCTGCAGCAGGACCCGCGCTCCGCCTCTTCCCAGGACCAAGCCTCAGGTTCTCTACCCTGCAGACCCTCCCCAAGCCACGGAAGAGCAGCAGGTCCTCAGGCTAGCGGTTAGCGGGTTAGCAAAGCCTTGGAGGGGGAGAGCCCGTAGAACCTCAAAGGGACCTGGGGTTGGGGCTGGCTCCACCCTCGCGGTGACTGATTTTGAGAATGATTTAATCTTTTCTTTACTTCGGTTTCCTCATCTGAAAGTGCAGATAAAGTGAGTTGATCTCTTGGGGCCCCTGAAGGGAAAACTGAGATCAAGCCCAGCGTTAGCTGTGGACTAGCACTGAACATGAGCAGGTGGCAGAGGCCCGGCCCTCTGTGACCAGGCCAGAGTCGTTTTCAGTAAAAAATGAGATGCTTGTCCTCTCGAACCCACGCTGCAAACACACTCTGAGAAAGCAAGACTTCGGCTCTTCCTTCAGGCCTGCAGTTGAGCCCTGGGCAGAGGTCTTTGCTGGCCCTGGAGCGGTTCCTGCCTGGCTGGGTGGGGGAAGGGTCAGACACAGGCCCCCACTCTCACTTCTGATGGGGAACCCCTATGCTAATTTCCCAGAAAGCCAATGGCAAGGTCTCCTTGGGAACAGGCTCCGCCTCCTCCCTTTTCTTTCTTTCTTTTTTTTTTTAGTTTGCTATAGGGCTCAAGGCTCACTGGAGAGAGACAGAGAGAGGGGAGAGAGAAAGAGGGATAGTGAGAAATCAAACCCAGGGATGATGACCACACTGTTGTCCCTTCTTCATTCTGCGCTCAGGATCTTGGGAATGCACCCACGGCAGACATGATTTTTCAAGCCCCTGGGTCCTGGACTAGAACCGCACAAGTGGCAGGTGGGACCAGCCACCTTTCGCTCCATGCCACCTGCTGGTCCCACTCAGCCCCGTTAAGTTCAGAATTTGTACATAACACATGTGAACGTGCTCCGACTTCTTGAGCAAATGCTATTTAAACAGATTTCGGCTGAGCCGGGAGAGCCCAGAGCTGTATTAGGGATGAGTGTGGTGGCAGGGAGCCGCCCAGTGAGAAGGGTCTACAGGAGGTTCAATCACCATGCGTCCCACAGTCTTCACAGCCAGTGACAAGGAAAGCGGAAGCCACTGAGTTCTTGCTGGGTGCGGGGGATGCGGTAAGCATGTCCCCGCGTGGTCGCGCTTCATCCTTCCAAAGGCCTTTCCAGGTAGCACTGTGATCCTGCTTACCTGTGGGGAAAGAGGCTCAGAGGCTAAGACACTTGAGCAAAACTACGGGGTCCAGAGCATTTGAGCCAGAATCTGGAACTGCATTTTTACGGATCCAGACTTAGGGGACCCCACCGGGGTCTTAAGCGTTACTACGTACAATGAAGCTTGTCCCCGATACCTGCCGAGAGCATCCACGCGCCACACGGCACACCTGTTTCAGGTTCTTTTGATTCCAGCCCAATCGCTTCTTTGGAAAGTGGACCTTTTCTTAACTGCACCTACAGAGGGTTAGGATTACGACACCGACTCTCAAAGAGGACTGGGTTTTGGAATTCCCCGACGCTGGTCTTGCAACACAGTGGTTAAGGGAACAGATCCCACATGGCTGACTGTGGTTGGAGGCCTAGCCCTGGCAGCTGGGAAAACATGCCGGGCCACGGGAGTACACACCAAAATCCTTGCAGAAGGAGAAAGGAGAAAAAAGGACTGTGGTGTGACCTTGCCCCACTGAGGGGGAGGGTGCTTTCTCCTTCTCTTACTCAGGAGTTCAGGCCCCTCTGATAATTAACAAACAAAAATGTCCTGGAGTACCGCCCATAGGCTCCAAAGTAAGGACCACAGTTCAGACATTGAGTAGAGAGACACACCCAGAGGCACTCCTAATCAACAGCATTGTCATAGTACTACAGGGCGGCCCGCCTGGGGGCACAGTCAGCCGACTGAACTGCAGTGCTGGAAGCCACATGGCAGACGGCAGGTTCGGATCCCTGAGTCAGCTTAAAAACAGGCCAGGCATGTGCACGTGTGCCTAGGACCCAATGAGCTGGAGGGCTGGGGAAGAGGGAGCACGTCCTGACAAGGCCCTGTCAGGGGTGGTCTCTCTCTCACCTGCTCATTTTCCTCTGTGCGTGCACGCACTCTCCACCATGAATAAAACAATAAACTTTAAAAAGATAACACAGTCATTTCCCAGTTTTTGCAATCAGATCATTTTTATGAAGCAATTAACAATCCGTGATCTCTTTAATAAGTGAGAGTGCCGGGGCTGAGCCAGGCACTGAGACCGGTTTTCATGAGGATTGGAGACAACCCGATGAACCCGCACCCAGAAAGGGAGAAGCCACAGAGGGTGGGCCTCGCATGCACACGGACTCCTGCATCGGAGTCACTAAGCTCACCACTGAGGATCGGCCTGGACAGACACCAGCAAAGCGAAGCTGAGAGGCATAGCTCTAGAACCCGCAAGAACCCCGGGCACTGGCTCCACAGAGGCCGAGAGAATGAACGAGCAGTTTGAAACACCAAGCACAGAAAATATCCCCAATCGTTTGATTGTATAAATAATTTATTTCTGTTCACAGCATCATATATGCATTAAAAAAGGGATGGAAACAAAAGAGAAGGATGACCAAGACAGAGAATTACAGCAGTAGAACAGGAACTGAAACCAGGGGACCCGGTCCCAACACCATGACAGAGAATCTGTGAAGAGCATTGTTCTGAAACAAAACCGGCCTCCCTGTATCCCTCGGGAAACGTTTCCAAAGCCCACACGGAGAGGCCACCTTCCTCTACGCAAAACCCATCCGTTCTCCAACGGGCAGAAAGCATAGTAAGTCCCTGCTCAATAAATTGCGGGGACCCCCCAACCAGGTGACTAATCCAAGGTGATTTTAACTGGGCTACCTCTGTTGGATCTGCGATGAAATGGGTTTTTATTAGGTCAAACATTACAGAAATCAACTGAGACTCTTAACTATGAGTTGATACACCACAGGGCTGTACTGGTACTGCACAATTACTAACAGTTGACTGCACCCTTAAGTACTGATAATGCAGAAAACGAAATCATCTCGCATCATCTTTAAAGCATGACAGGAATTGAACAGTGATCTTGAACCCAAGTATGGTCAGCACGAGAAGGTTACAGTATTTGGCATCTGCAATGTCACAAAATAAATATATTATTCTCTCAATAGTGTGGAACTACCAAAATGTCAAAGTGCTTAAGAAATTGTTGCATGTGAAGAAAATAAAGGATGATGGAATTTTTTTTTTTTAATAATTCTATACAGAATCTTCAGATGATGGGACCAGCCCATTTAGATATCAGTGAATAAGCTGTCGATATGTAAACTGAAATCTTGCAGGTTTTTCACCACGGCTCAGCTAGACTTCCTCTAACTGAGTTCCTACAAAAAGACCAGCATTGGAGGGCTGCCAAATACACCGGCGAAAGAGAAAAGATGAGCTGCTAGTTTTCTGTTTCTAAAAAATTTCATGGAAGAATTGGGTTTCAAGCAGGAAGCCAGAAGTTCTGCCTCTGGTTCTTAAATGAACTTGTAATGAACAATAACCCTGGAGTCACAGTTTGACTAATTCACATGCACAAGGCATGGTTGTGTCCAATTTCTACAGGCCTCCTTTGCAAAAAAAAAGTGTAAAATAGCAGGCAGGAATCATAATTCTACCTGCAAACATGGGTCTAAAAAGGAAATCGAAATCAAACAGTTCTGTTGTTAAGTTTCCCTTCTGATACTGTGTTTTGGGGTAAATGACAGCTTTTGCAAACCAAGACTCAGTCCTGATTATAAAGGATTTTTTTAATTACATTATTAAAAATATGTATTTATTCTTCTTTCACTTTCTCTATTTTCCAAAGCCTCTTTCAAGTAAACTGTGACGTGCCTGAGGACCCGCGACCATGACGTCACAGGCTTTCTTTGATCTCAAGCACACATTGTTTGCTTTTGCCCGAAGTGCTGGCTGGCTAGAAGGCAGAAGGCAGGCTGGTCCCCACAAGAATGAATTCAGGACTTCATCCTCGTGCATCGCCTTTGCTCTTAAACCCATGCAACGAGGTCGGCTTTTGCAGCAAGGTGGGGTTTTATTTTTTGGTGCATGACATCAAATACTCTACGAGACATTTGTAATGAAATACTTAAAGCAGATAGGCCACGATGAACCAAATTAGAAATCCGAACACGTCGCTGCTTGCAGCGTCAAGGGATATAAAAGGGCAAAGTCTTTTTTTCCTAAGGTGAATATTTCTAAGGTGAGTATTAATTTGTAAAAGTTTTTTTTAAAACATTTCTGAAAACCCTTCATCACGCAGTAGTATTACAAGAGATATCCCTTGCCAAAAAAAAAAAAAAATCTTACAATTCAGCACACATCTGCAGCTGGTATGCTTATCCAAACCAATCAGTAGGCTAAAGAGAATTTAAAATTCCACACATATGGGTCTGGATATTTCTGCCGATTACACAGTACAGAGGGAGGTCCCTGCATCCACACACACACACCCCATCCAGCATTTACACCAAGAGCCTTACCCTTTAAACACCTTTAACTATCCTGCAAACAGTAAATGCATCATCTCCACCACCTCCAACAGTTGCTTTTTCATTTTTATTGGGTCTCTTTGTGTGATAATGACCTACACATGGTCCAGACCTTCTGGAAGATGTCGGATTCCAGGCTGAAAAGCAGTTCTCAACAAAACTGGTCTTCTGTAGCCACCACAAAGCACCAGGAAACGGGCACGTTCGGGGCCATTCCCAGCCAAGGCCCCTCCAGCTGCGGTGTTGTCCCATGCAGTCCTCTGATGGCCCAAACTACCACCTCCACTGGGCCCAGATAAGGAGATTTCAACAGGGACCTGCCCTGTGACTTAAATGATGCAGCTTCCACAGCCCCTGGATGCAAGGAGCCTGGTCCCCAGGGTCTCCCACTGCCAACACGCCCCCAAACAGGTACCCCAGGGTTCTGGGAAGTGCAGACCTCAGGTTACTCACAGGTGGATTGCCCCTCACCCCCAGAAGGGGGGCGGGGCAGCCCGAACTTCAGGCCCTGCTAGATTAGGGAGAAATCGCTTTTGTCTCTCAGACACGGGAGCTTTCCACCTTGGGGCCCAGGGTGGCACAGCAAGACCTCAGGGCCCACTCCTCACCGTGGCCCCCACCCATCAGTAGCTCTGGCGTTCAGACAAAAGGTCCCCTGAGCTGGGATGGGGGCAGGTCGAGGGCAGACTGCCCACTGGCCGTCACACCCGGGTAAGTCACCAGTCCAGCATCAGGCGCAGAGATTCCGCTCTAAGAATAGGAAGCATCGCTTTGGTTTGCTGTCTTTGTTCGCGGGCGCGGGTTCTCGCTCATCCATCCACCCATCCATTCATTCATTCTCACTCGCTCGCTCCCGAACGCCGCCGGGCGCATTACCGCTTCTTCTTCTGCTTGAGGGACTTCCTGCGTTTCAGGATCATCTCATAGAGCTTGTCCATGCCCTCGGTGAGGCCCTCGCCGATGATGGCGCACGCTGGCTGGACGTGGTAGGTGGTGGCCGGGATGAGCTCGTGCAGCGCCAGCTGCTTCTCGATCTCGGCCACCGGCAGCGACTTGGGCAGGTCCTGCTTGTTGGCGATGACCAGCAGCGGTGTGCCCTGGTTCTCGGCGAACTTGGTCACCTTGTGCAGCTCCGTCTTGGCCTCCTCCAGCCGGTCCACGTCCACCGAGTCCACCACGTAGATGATGCCGTCCGTGCAGCGGCTGTAGGACTTCCACAGCGGCCTGAGCTTCTCCTGGCCGCCCACGTCCCAGAAGTGGCAGCTGATGCCCTTGGCCGTACCGTTGCTCAGCTTGATCTTCTCGGTGTTGAAGCCGATGGTGGGCACGGTGTTCACGAACTCGTTGAACTTCAGCCGGTAGAGCACCGTGGTCTTGCCGGCCGAGTCCAAGCCCAGCATGACGATGTGCAAGGACTGGAAGGCCGAGATGTTGGAGGAGATGTTGCCCATGGCTCCTCGCTGCGGCGCCGGCCACTGCGG